ATATAGAGAAATCAGTCCCTGGCCTTCAGAGATGATGCATGCATGATGTTGCTGAAATATTATAGTAAATGATTACAGGTAATTCGATATGAAACACATGCTCATCTCTATGAAAGTGTGTGCACAGCCGGTTTGCAGAGAACACAGTCCTGCATTAAAGATGACGAGCTCAGAGCTCTAGCAGGCTTTAGCTCGGGTAACATGTGGCAGAACAACAGTTTGAGGTCTAGGTATTTTACTGTAAAAATTAGCTTGTCTTGCAATCAACAGCTGATAAAATCACTGAGTGAAATGTCAGTGGGTTAGTCGCCGGCATGCCGTTTTACGAGCTTAAAACTGTCTGAGAGAAGGTATTTCTTCAAGAAGAAAACAAGCAGAGAAGGTTCTGATCTGTGATGTATAACACGAGTGTCCATAAATCACACAGTCCCCGTCAAACACAGTCAATGTGAGCGTTCAGTTAGAGGAAACGGCTCGCCTGCTGCTTTCATCACACTTCCTCTTTCCTTTGTGTTTCAGAGCAAGAGTTAATGCAGGGAGCTGTGTGCTGTGTGAAACCTGCTGTGCTGTGAAGACCGGCTCAGAAACATATCTCTCAAGCTACGACGTTCATCAACTAATTACTAATGAACACTGGGACTCGTACAAGCACTTCATCACAGGACTGCTTCATTGGTTTAAAAGGATGTTTTCTTGAATATCCGTTTACTCGGCTCTGTAGCGGTTATGTTTTTCAACACTAGTCACTTGTTTAATGTGCTTTCTTTATTGCATTTACTCGATTGCATTTTACTGCATTGACTCCAAAGAGACTTATTGATCCATATGAAGGGATTCGGCTGTAATGTTCTTTATTCTCTTGCCTGAACAAGGAAATAATAAAATGCTTTCCTCACTGAATAATGCCTGGAATTCTCCAAATTTCACTATAACAGAAATGCAGCATTTAACTTTCTAAGACGGAGGGGTCTAGGTATTTTACTGTAAAAATTAGCTTGTCTTGCAATCAACAGCTGATAAAATCACTGAGTGAAATGTCAGTGGGTTAGTCGCCGGCATGCCGTTTTACGAGCTTAAAACTGTCTGAGAGAAGGTATTTCTTCAAGAAGAAAACAAGCAGAGAAGGTTCTGATCTGTGATGTATAACACGAGTGTCCATAAATCACACAGTCCCCGTCAAACACAGTCAATGTGAGCGTTCAGTTAGAGGAAACGGCTCGCCTGCTGCTTTCATCACACTTCCTCTTTCCTTTGTGTTTCAGAGCAAGAGTTAATGCAGGGAGCTGTGTGCTGTGTGAAACCTGCTGTGCTGTGAAGACCGGCTCAGAAACATATCTCTCAAGCTACGACGTTCATCAACTAATTACTAATGAACACTGGCACTCGTACAAGCACTTCATCACAGGACTGCTTCATTGGTTTAAAAGGATGTTTTCTTGAATATCCGTTTACTCGGCTCTGTAGCGGTTATGTTTTTCAACACTAGTCACTTGTTTAATGTGCCTTCTTTATTGCATTTACTCGATTGCATTTTACTGCATTGACTCCAAAGAGACTTATTGATCCATATGAAGGGATTTGGCTGTAATGTTCTTTATTCTCTTGCCTGAACAAGGAAATAATAAAATGCTTTCCTCACTGAATAATGCCTGGAATTCTCCAAATTTCACTATAACAGAAATGCAGCGTTTAACTTTCTAAGACGGAGGAAGAGCGATGAATGTTTTTCATGTTTTGCTGCTCCACATCAGGTTGACATGAATGAAGCAGAATCTCGGTTTCAGTTCCAAACTCGTACGAGTGTCTTTCTTCTGTGGAACGAGGAAGATTTGTTAAAGAGTCAGTACAATAATAGTCAGCGGGGTCTAAAGTTTCAAGCACCCAAAAGAACATAAATGTGGTGTAAAAGTGATCGTACAGCTCCAGCAGACTCTTCTGAAGCCATTCGATCACTTTACACAACAAACCGAGTGAAATCTGATCACTTAACTACTCTCAAATCAGCTCATGTTTACAGCCCCTTCTGAAAATGAAGTATGCTTTAAAAAGAGCACTTAAATAATATACTTCAGAACAATATACGGTCACACTTTAGTTTGGAGACCAGTTCTCACTATTAACAGCTACATTTGCCTCAATAAACTCCTAATTTGCTGCCTATTAATAGTTAGTAAGGAAGTTTAGGTATTGGGTCGGATTAAGGGATCTGAAATATGCTCGTGCATTAATATGTGCTGTATTAGTGCTAATAAACAGCCAATATGCTAGTAATATGCATGCTAGTTAATAGTGAGAACTGGTCCCTAAACTAAAGTGTTAATTTCTATACTTAAAAATGGGACATGAGATGCAAAATTGCATATAATGTGTCTTAGACCCTACAGACCACCCTACAATGATAAAAATCCATTCGCTCTTTTTTTTATTATTATTCCCTAAAAAACCTATACAGTCTCAATTATCAAGCGTTTAGATTTTCAGAGCAGTATGACGTCATACTGCTCAAGCCCCGCCCACAGCCGCTGACGGACCGTCCCGTATTAGCATAACTCCGCCCTCAGCTGCCTGCGACGACAATGACTCGGAAGCACTGCAGGTGTAAAAGTGAACATGAGTTTTCATTTTCTCCCGACATCAGAGCCATTCCTTTTGTTTTGATGGTAATGCGCCACTGAACACAGCTAAATTAATTTATGTCTGTGCAAATCATTTTACTCCAGACTGCTTTCTGAACGAGGGACGATTCAAAGCAGGTTTTGATCAAAAGTTCAAACTCAAGGATGGATCAGTACCCACTGTTCGTGATCCAGCTGCAGTAAGTCTCACATTTGATATTTTTTATGATTATTTGCATGTCGCCACACGGAAGCACTGCAGGTGTAAAAGTGAACATGAGTTTTCATTTTCTCCCGACATCAGAGCCATTCCTTTTGTTTTGATGGTAATGCGCCACTGAACACAGCTAAATTAATTTATGTCTGTGCAAATCATTTTACTCCAGACTGCTTTCTGAACGAGGGACGATTCAAAGCAGGTTTTGATCAAAAGTTCAAACTCAAGGATGGATCAGTACCCACTGTTCGTGATCCAGCTGCAGTAAGTCTCACATTTTATATTTTTTATGATTATTTGCATGTCGCCACGGAAGAGAGGGGCGGGGCGAGCAGAGCTCATTAGCATTTAAAGAGACATGCACCAAAACGGCTCGCTGCGAACAGAGCTGTTTTTAACAAGGCAAAAAGGGTGTTGTTTTACACGACCATTGAGGAATTTTAACACAAGTATACTACAGACATTTCATGAAGACCCTAAAGAATCACACCAACTTGTGGAAAATAGCCATCCGATGTCCCCTTTAAGTGTGAACTGAATATTACATTTCAGATACTGAAGATGAAATGAATATTAAATGCTATTAGTTGAGCTTAAAGACCCGCTAAAGTAGGACTTCAGTACAATTTCTTAATTACTTCTAATGTCTTTGAAATATGGTTAAAGTACTGCTGAATGTACTGACAAGCATTTCTGGTAAATAATAATATACTCCTATGACTGGTTTATCAGTGGCATTAAGGACGTTCATGGTGTTATTGATAAGCTGGTCATTTGCTGCTTTCATATTTCATCCTGATGAACAGACCTCAGCTCTTCCTCTCCCAATGAATGCCAGTTTAACGAACCTCGATCAATATCACTTAGACCAGAGGAGAACCGCTTTCTGAGCCAGATTTCTCCATTTCTGTCACCTGATGGAGTTTGGTTATTTGGTTAGGAGCTGCTCTACAGCTCAATCACGTCTCTCAACATCCAACTGAACTGAATCAACACTCAGATGAATCAAGACAGCAGACTCTGATCTGAGTTTCCGTCAGTGATTCTGTTATTCTCCTGTTGACCTGCTTTGACACGATCCATAAAGCACTGTAGAAATAAAGGTGACTTTAATGTCATTTTTGTTGAAATGTAAATATCATGTGTTTAAATGTTTATATATATATATATATATAGTCAACACATCAGAATAAGTGCACTTCTTAAAAGCACGACACAAGATTATTAAAACAATGATTTCAAATGTACTTTAATTAAAAAGCTAAAAGTGCACTTTTTAAGTGTACATGAAACTGAGTTCACTAAGTGGCCTTTTATTTCATTAATATTACGTTATGTGCAAGTAGTTTTAAAAAATATATATACTTTAAAGATATGAAGTACACGGCAAGTGCACATTCAGTATAATTAAGCACACTTCTTTTCACAAGGTGAGGCCAGATCAAATATAGCAATGTGTCAATAACATCAAGCCTCATTGGTTCTTGTGTGTCACATGACTTACTGTCACTTCAGAAGATTAAACCACTAGAGTTACATAAATTACTTTACAATCACTTGATGCCAGCAGCTAAACATAGTTTAAATACTGTATTTTGTGTTGAAATGAGGGTGTGTAAATGATGGCAAGATTGTCATTTTGGGTGACCTAATCCTTTGAAGGGAAAATTACGGCTGCTTTCTGTCTGCGCTGTAAAAAAGTGATTTCTGCCTGATTTAGTTTGCATCAATTAGTGTATTTAGATTGATTCAGTGACGTTAAATAATATTTTCTTGACTTGAATAAAACCAGTTAATTTAGATGTAACCAATGTTGTTTTTCAATATGTTTGCAATGAGTGTTTTATCAATTTGATTATGCCATCTCTTTTAAAAAATAATCAGTGAGACGCTATACTTTATATTAATATTATGAATTAGTTTTCATTTTAATTTTAGTTAAAGCTTTAGTCATTTTATTGTGTTTTAGTCATGCATATTAGTTTTTTTTAATGTTTATTTAATTTTCAGCTCTAATTATTTTAGTACATCAAACTATGTTTAGACTAAATGAAAATAAAAAAACGTTGCTTGGCAACTAGCTGAAATGAGTTTAATTTAAATGAACGAGCAAAAATAAAATCCCTCTCAAGAAACCATAACACGAACAACAGCGAATAAATGCATTTAGTTTTTTATTACAAATAAATATTTACAGTATATACAGTGAAGAACCCCTTACCAAACTCAGACTGACAGCTTCATCTGATACTTGTGTTATATGAAGATATGAGAAACCCCTGACATGATGAGCACATAACGGAATTGGTACAATTCACATTACATGAGATTACACGGTCACAAAACTGTACAACTGGAAGGAAAGCCACAATCTGTCTAGTTTCGGTTCTGGAAGATCCTTCAGTGAAACCACATCACACGTTACACAAACCAGGTCGTTTCTGACCACGACGAAGCGAGGATCCTGAGAGTCCAACAGCAGACATATGAACGATTGAGACTGAGGTACGAGGTTGAGTGTGGAATGGAGTCCATTGTCCATGAGTGAGACAGAGTCCGAGGTGCGAGACGAGCGCTCTCAGAGAGGACACATGGTCTGTGGCATGGAGCTGCTGTTCCACAGATCTGTGTAGGTGCAGAGAGAGTCGTCACGCAGGTCTGGGGTCAGTTCAGTGTAGAGCCGAAACTCAAGCTCTTCTCCTGCAGCAACAGGACAGAAACAAACACTTGAGTTTCTGCTCACTTCAGAAAAGACATCGAAGCGTTTGAGGCTCGTCTAAGGTGCTCACGCAACCATTACCTGAGCTTTCACTCCACTGGCTCTCTGGACTCAGAGATTCTGTTGTGGCTACTTCATTGGCCAGGAACCCCTTTCCACCGAAATTGCTCTGCAGCCACTGCGTACTTTCACGTTCCAATTGCCGTGTGAGCTGCAAGAGCAAAACACAGAACTTGTAAGTGACTGGCTAGTTCTTTTATTTCAGTCAATCAGCAATGAGCCAAAATGAGGACGGGGTATTCCTGTCAATGAAAAAGCACAAAGGACAAAGAGCAACTGTGAAACTCACCTCAAATATAGCTTCGTTCTCCTCCAAGTCTGAGGTTGGAAAGATGGAGAAAACACACAATGAGTACCAGCCGTGCCTCAGCAACTTAATGAAGTGAGATGTGAGCTTCTGTTACCTGTGGAGTGCACCGGAGACACCTGGAACTTGCTGGTGTACAGGTCTTCAGGACAGTCTGCGATTTCGACCTCATATGCGGGGGTGTCACAGGAGGGGCTGGCGGTGCCTTCAGGAAAAAGGAAACACGTGATGAATATCACCTCCGTGGTGAACATCTATCTCACCTGCCTAGTCTGGTCAAATCTGAAAACCCTTACTTAGATTCACAGTGCTGTCGATGGTGTTCTCCTGGGTCATTTCTGAGTGCATCTCGTGGGCATCAATCTCCTCCATCTTGACCTGAGCGACACAAACAGACATCTTTAGTGCTGCAGTCGTACAGATTGGATGTGTGCCAAATAGAGCACCTGCGCTCCAGACTCACTCGCACACGTTCGCCTTACCTTGCGTTTGCGGCTGTCGCGGCTCTTGCATCTCTTGACTTTCTTCTTGGCGACGGTGGCCAGCATGCGGTAGACTCTCACCGCGCCGCAGCCTTTGTTGATGCTCTTGTCCTTCACCTCTTCGATGTCGGGGAGCGAGTTCATGGCACAGCGGAAGTTGGCTTTCCAGGTTTTGGGGTCAGGCTGGGTCACTCCCTCCTTGTATTTACCTGAGGAACACAAGCAGCAGTGTGAGCGCACCTGTGGTGGACTGTGAGCTCAGTCGTGTGTGCTCGAGCGATCGCTCACCTGTGTGAATGGCCCACTGCTTGAACAGACAGGCGTCTTTATCCACCTGCCAGCCGTGCCGAGCCGCGTGTTTCCACGGGATGGAGAACATGCTCTCCTCCTGAAAGCATTGCAGATCCATTAGAACACTGCTGCTGTCTCCAGATGGTTATCTGGATGGTTGTGAGTAGATGATGATATTTCTTTACCTTGTTGACCCACATGAGTCCAGCGATGGTGTTGGAGTCGATTTTGCCCTCCAGCCAGGGTCGCATGCGCATTCGGGACACAGGCATGTTTCTGTAGAAGCAGACAGAAGCTGGTTTACTCGCTGTGCATCTGGAGGGAGGCGCTTTGACAAGTTCATGACCAGGAAACGGCACTTTGTTTTTCTTCTCCGACAAATATCACTATGCAAAATTCTCGATCTGTACTACATATTTATTGGATCACATATTCGTATGGTTTGCTCAGTCAGTTTTACAGCTGAGCAAAAATACATCAAAGCCAACTGAAAAGTAACTTTTGATGCTGTTGTTGTTTTGCAACATTGTTGCCGCCTGTTGCATTAATTATTAACAATCGAAATAATCAGCGTAACACGTTATTTATTTAACCAGTAAATCAACACTCGTCTACAAGTGCACCGAACCAGTTCCAAGTATAAATGCAATAATAATATTAAATGCAATAAAACGTTTCATATTATCATAGTCACTTACAGTATAATCCGATGTTGTATCCAAATGAGAAAACTGCAAAAAGAGTATGTCCTGTAAAAGGCGTGAATCCACTCTCAGAACTACAGCTGAGGTTCTGTCTAGATCAGCTCGCGCTTACTGTACAGAAGAAGCGGCGCGAGGCGAGAATATATAGCGCTGGTGTGGGCACGACGCGCATGCGCACGGAGAGCAGCCGCTCTTCAGCCTCGCCAGGCTGATTTCCGAGAAATCATGCTGTTATGAGATAGCAGGGCTACGTGCGGAAGACAATTCAGTTTGGATAAACACACACACACACACACACACACACCCTCAACATGCCACCACAGACTATCACACACACACACCCACACACAAACATATATGCATGTGTTATTACCACGACAATCAACAACAATAATAATAGGTTGACAGAATTAATCCCTAATAATAATAATAATTATTATTATTATTATTGTTGTTGTTGTTGTTAATTATACCATTCACTTCACATATATACGGTGAATTCAGGTAAATTGGGAGACTTTAACCCGTGCCGTGCCGCTTAACCTGAATTAACCCTGTATGGGGATTTGCATTATATGCGTCTCTTTTATGCAAAGAAATCTGACACCAGCAGCAATGTTTAGTCCATGAAAGCATCTACCCACTGTGAATGTAAATATAGCGAATGTGTTTTCCTTCTACGGATGAGTTATTTGCGTGCGTTATGAATAGAGTATACAGTGTGTCAGGGTTCGGCCCATCAGAGGTCAGCGGCTTTCCGGGAAATGAGCGCGAGCTGCGCCGCTAGAGGGCGCCCGCGGCCGGGAGCGCTTCACTGTAAGAGCCGCCGTTTCAGAGAAACTCTGCTGCCGCCGGAGGCGTGACGTCAGTCCTGCAGCGTCACGCGCGAGCTTTGGCATTTTAGGTTTCGTGATGTGTAATTATGCTCAAGCGATGAGCCTCAAACGCGCGTTATGATCGTCGCTAAAGGCGTGCGTGTTTTTAAACAGTAACGTTAGCGTGTTGTTAGAAGACAGAAAACGCGTTTTAGGGGCATTTGATGCAGGACGCGTTAAAACCAGCGCGACGCGCCGCGGGGGTCTCGAGATGTTAACAGCATGCTTTAAAAGTTTGCGTTTATGTGAGTGCAGAACAGCTGTCCGAGTCCAGCGAGTACAGACTGACCCACAAGACGAGAGAACGCAGAGACGCGTCAGCGCGGTGTAAAGGCAACGCGAGCGTCACGATGCTGTAATCGCGCTGCTCCGTGAATTCCTGGGGTTTCCCGAGGATCGTTCAGCGATATTCCCCTCCGGTAGACCGCCTGTTAGATCAGCGCGCACGAGTCCTTTCGGCAGAACAGACACTTTCAAGTTTTAATAGAGCTGGGATTTCTTGCGTTTCTTTTTCAGCGTTAAAGGGGTCATATGATGCTGCTAAAAAGAACATTATTTGGTGTATTTGGTGTAATGAAATGTGTTTATGCGGTTTAAGGTAAAAAAAACACATTATTTTCCACATACTGTACATTATTGTTTCTCCTCTATGCCCCGCCTTTCTGAAACGCTCGATTGTTACAAAGCTCATCGGTCTGAAAAGCGAGGTGTGCTGTGATTGGCCAGCTATCCAGTGCGTTGTGATTGGCCGAATACCTCAAGCGTGAGACGGAAATGTTACGCCCCTCACCATACTGTGCTGCCCTGTCCGGCCGGAGCGACGAGACAAACACATTAAAACCCATTATAAACCAGGCATTTGTTGCATCCAGTGGAGACATAATTACTGATTATAATGACTTATTCTGTCTTTTTACGAGTTGTGTTGCATCGCGCCGCGTAAACATAAAACCATGTCTGCATTTGTGATCGGAGAAATGACAAACAACAAGCGCTACTCTACACTGCTCAAAAAACTCACGTTTGAATCATCAGCGGCAAATCCTTTAAATATGATATAAACTATGACCATAGCAACAATCTAGCAACAACCCCAAGTACCCTAACAACCTAGCAACCACCCCAGGTATCATAGCAACCGCATAGCAGCACCCTAGCAACCACCCCAAGTACCATAGCAACCGCATAGCAACACCCTAGCAACCACCCAGAGTACCCTAGCAACCGCATAGCAACACCCTAGCAACCACCCCGGGTACCATAGCAACCGCCCTAGCAACCACTTTAAGTACCCTAGCAACCGCATAGCAACACCCTAGCAACCACCCTGAGAACCCTATCTATCTATTCAGACTTCTTCAAACTACAAGTTTTTAAACCCCTTCACATAGGCTTTCTCAAGCCAACTTCACAGCTTGTTCACAAACTTTACTTGTCTAGTTAAAGTTACACTGTTATGATCGTCTCCCTTGGATTTTCCCTGCGAAACCACCCTGAGTCCTTCACATAAAAATTAGTTTACTGGCTCTCATTTTTTAAGTTTCGTTACATGCTGTTCACACATTTGCAATAAAAAGCAATTAATACTTGAAAATGCTTTCATAAAGCCCCTTTAAAAATGTAATTTTGTCCATAGAAACAAGTAGCTAACTTTAGCTAGCAGCACAGCTTTTCCTTCTATCATGTAATAACATTCAGTGAGCAATATCTGATAGTGTATATTTTAGTACATACTTAGCCTGTTTGCACAGCACCAAAACAGCTTCTTTCATTGATTTTTAGTTTTTTTCTTCTCCAGATGGAAGGAGCCATGGATGAAAGAGATAGTTCACCCCAAAATGGATATTTTGTCATTAATTAGGGATCTAACTGGATGTCGTATGATTCTCTTGCATCAGCCAAAAACTGTGATAGGCTATAGCTGCCAGAACTGTTCACACAGATGAAGAAAGTTATTGTACTATCTGAGAATAAAAGGACCTACTTGATTAAGTATTTTAAGCATTTCAAATACAAAATACTGCCTCTCAAAGTATTTAATTACAAATTACATTTAATTTTTTTGTCCAGCAAAATACAAATGACAAAATACTCAAAAGTAATTAAATACATATTTTAAATACATTTAATTAAAACACTGCCCATCTCTGAGTGCATGAAAGAAGACCTTCATCAGCCTGAAGTCTAACCTCATCCTCATCAAACCTCTGAACACTAAACCTGCACATGCAGCTGTTTCATTCTGCCATTCATTCCAGCACTGCTCTGTTGAGTTGTGTTTCACTTGCTCTAAAGTATAGGATAGTTAGTAACTCACTGATCACATGTAATCTGGATTATGTAATTAGATTTATTAAATCAGTACTTGTAATTACATTACAGTTATGTGTCTTTCATATATAATATTTTAAGTTGTCAATTTACTCAGTTATTATGTATTAGTCTCAATCAGTCTCTCTAATGTTGTTGAAAGCATGATTCTTTAAAAACAAACACACTGGCTGGGAGGATGCCGCTATTACAAACAAGTGACGCAGGAGAAGATGAAGATGAGGACAGCAGTTTGTGAGACGGTCAGATGTTCTGCAGGACTATAAAGAACCTAGAACTCCTTGACATGAGATATCTTTGATAAAGAGAGAAGTCTTCCACAAAAACAAAAAAAGTTGTTGTATTTACATTATATTACACTTTAAAACACCCATAGACTAAAAATACTTTTTATTGATTACATTCACATAATGGCAGTATATTATTCGACTTTTTCCCTTTTAAAGTTTTCATTCTTAAAAATACTACCACTTATACGTTTGGAAAGTCTTCCGGTTTTGTGGATTCACACACACACACACACACACAGACACAGACAAAAACTGTGAGGTCTGTAGATCACGGCAGTTTAAGGTTATGTGAGAAATATAAATAGGAGGTCATGCAAGTTCTCAAAGGCATGGCATCCCACACACAAACACACACACACACGCACACACAAACACACACACACACGCACACACAAACACACACACACACGCACACACAAACACACACACACACGCACACACATACACACACACACACACACACACATACACACACTGATACACAAACACACACACACACACTGATACACAAATACACACACACACACGCACACACACACACACACACACACACACATACACACACTGATACACAAACACACACACACACACTGATACACAAATACACACACACACACACACACACACACACACACACTTTTTCTTCATCGTTATTTATGATCCGCTTCGTCAGGTTCATCTAGCATATCCATGTGATGCTAATTAAGTTTAACGTTACTAATGCAGCCGAAGCCCCGGTGTTGTGTAATATTCGGTTAATACTATTCTTTTCACTCGAATAGTGTTGTATCGTGATTTGAAGCTCTATGGGTGTACTCACTTCTGTCGTGTACTGCATGTGTGACTGATACACTGGAAGCAATACTGACGTGACATACTGAGACAATTCCTCACCGCTGATCCTGATGTTCATTCTATTAAGCAGTATAGATTTAATACAGGAGATTTACAGTCTGAGGTAGCAAAAAGAAAAAGTTGTATGAACATGACCTCTGACCTTAGCTCGTTTACTTTGAGGTTAGTTTCCACACAAGTGCATCTGATGTGAGCGGCCATCATAACTTCTTTATAGAATTGCAATATTTTTTGGACATGTATAATTTAAAATTGTTTTGTATTGTGTTTGTTTTGTTTTATTGTATTTATTTTACGTTCGGAATAAAGTCTAAAAAATATCTAAATCAAATTCAGCAAAAAAGTGAAGTTTGTGTGTTGCTGCTGTTGCTAAATGTTTGTTTCTTTCAGCGTTCTTGTTGTTTAAAATCATGGTTGGTGCATTTTATGTTTTGCAATGCTAAAGCCGTGAGGTTTAAATAAGCACTGTTTGAATGGTTAATAATGTGTCTCTGTCTGTTATCGAAGTTATGTGTTTATTGTAATGACCTTAAAAAGTGGATCCAGCATTGGGGGAAATTAGCATATTTTTACTCAAAAATAATACATTTATAGTATATTGCTTGTGTGTTTCAAAGACACTCATAATTCATTTGTAATGTACTGGTAAAGTACACTTTAATATCACTAATCAAGCATGTAAATAGGCATATACTTAAAGTGTACTAAGTGTACTTGAAGTTGTTCCAATTCAGCACAGAAAAGTACACTAAATACACTTAAAGTCATAC